AGTTTTCATTCACACCAAAAGTATACAAGGTTCCCTTTTCTTCACATCCCCAACAGCACTTGCTCTTATCTTTTTGACAAAAGCCAGACTGACAAGTGTGAGTTTGTATCTCGGGGTTTTGATTAGCTTCTTCCTGATCATTAGTGACACTGAGCATCACCTCATGTACCTGTTAAGCCAGTGAATAGCTTTGGAAAAATATCTATTCATGTTCACTGCCCATTTTTAATTGGATTACTTGGAGTTTTGTTTTGTTTTTTTGCTCTTGAGTTCTAGAAGTTCCTTACAAATTTTGGATATTAACAACTTACCAGATGCGCGGGTTAAGAATATTTTCTCCCAGTCTGTAGGCTGACCTTTCATTTGGTTGATCACTTATTTTATAGTGTAGAAGTTTTGTAGGTGATGTAGTCCCACTTCTTTATTTTTTATTTTGTTGCTTGTGCCTTACGTGTCTTATCCACCACCCCCCCAAAATAATTGCTATTACCAATGTCAAGGAGTTTATCCCCTACTTTTCTTCTAGGAGTTTTATAGTTTTTAGTCTCACATTTCAGTATTTAACTGACTTAATTGTTGTGAATGGTGTGAGATATGGTTCTGGTTCCATTCTTTTGCATGTGAATATCCAATTGTCCTAGTGTGATTTATTGAAGAAACCATCTTTTCACCATTGAGTACTCATGCCATCCTTGTTAAATAATAGTTGTCCATTTATGTGTGAATTTACTTCTGGTCTCTCAGTTCTTTTCCATTAGTCCATGTGTTTGTCTTTATGCCAGTGCCATACTGTCTCGATTACTATAGCTTTGTAATATAATTTAAAATCAGGAAGTGTAGGGGCACCTGGGTGGCACAGTCAGTTAAACATCTGCCTTTGGCTCAGGATCTCAGGGTTCCAGGATCAAGCCCCATATCAGGCTCCCTGTTCAGTGGAGAGTCTGCTGCTCCCTTACCCCTTCCTCCCCCACCACCCTCTTCTGCTCTCTCTCGTACACACTCTCAAATAAGTAAATAAAATCTTTTAAAAAAATCAGGAAGCGTGATGCATCTAGCCTTGCTGTTCTTTCTCAGGATTACTTTGGCTATTGCAGGATTACTCTGGCTGTGTAGATAGTTCTTTATGAATTTTAAGATTATTTTTCTATTTTTATGAAAAATGCCTTAGGTATCTTGATAGGGATTATATTCAGTTTACAGAGGAGTTTAGGTAGTATGGACAGTTTAATAATATTAATTTTTCCAATCCATGAACACAGGGTATATTTCCATTTATTTATATCTTCTCCAATTTCTTTCAACAATGTTTTATAGTTTTCAATTTATAAGTCATTGACCTACTTGGTTAAATTTACTCCTAAGTATTTTATTGTTTTTGATGCTGTTGTAAATGAGATTGTTTTCTTTGTTTTAAATTTTAATTTGTTAGTATATAGAAATGTTACTGATTTTTGTATGTTGATTTTGTATCCTAGAGCTTCACTGAAGTCATTTATTAGTTGTTACATGTTTTTTTGGTGTAGTCTTTAGGATTTTCTGTATACAAAACATCATCTGCAAACAACGACAATTTTACTTTTTTCCTTTCCAATTCTGATTCCATTTATTTGTTTTTCTTGCCTCATTGCTCTGGCTAGAACTTCCAGTACTGTGTTAAATAGTGATGAAAGTGGACAACCTTCACTTGGTCCTAATATTAGAGGAAAAACTTTCAACCTTTCACCATTGAGTTTGATGTTAGTTGTGGGTTGTCATGTATGGCCTTGAGAATTCTATGCCCAGTTTGCTTCTATGCCCAATTGAGAATTTTTATCATGAATCGATGCTGAATTTTTAAATGTTTTTCTCCATCTGTTGGGATGATCATATTACTTTCATCTTTTTAATTAATGTGGTAAATTACAATTTTTGATTTGCAAGTGTTCACTCATCCTTGCCTCCTAGGAATGAATCCTAATTGATCATGGTATATTATCCTTTTGGTGTGCTGTTGGATTCAGTTTGCTAGAACTTGGTTGAGACTTTTTGCATCTTTCGTCACCGGGGATATTGGCTTGTAAGGTTTTTTGTTTTGTTTTGTTTTTGTCTTGTTTTTGTAGTGGCCTTATTTGGCTTTGATATCATGGTAATGCTGGCTCAGTTGGTTAAGGACTGCCTTCAGCTCAGGTTGGGTTACCTGCTCAACAGGGAGTCTGCTTCCTCCTCTGCTCCCCCAAACCTTCCCCCCTTCCCTGGCTCCATGCTCCCTTTCTCTCTCTTTTGCTCTCTTTCTCTCTCAAATAAAATACTTAAAATTTTTTTCAATATATTTGCAAATTTTCCCATTATTGATTTCTGCTTTCATATGATTGTTGCTAGAAAATATAGTTTGTGTGATTTCAGTCTTCTTATATTTGCTACAACTTGTATTATGGCCTAACATTTGCTCTATCCTACAAAATGTTCTGTGTCTGTATATGTCACTTAGGTCCTTGTGATTTATAATGTTATTCAAATCCACTGTTTCCTTACTGATTCTTTGGATAGTATATCCATTGCTGAGTAGGATATTAAAGTCTCCAGTTATTATTTTATTGCTATTTATTTCTGTCAGTTCTGCTAGTATTTGCTTTATATATTTGGTTCTCTGATATTAGGTGCATAAACATTTACAATTATGTATTTTTAATGGATTGACTCCATTATCATTATATAAGGACCTTCTTCATCTCTTTTGACTATTTTTAAAGTCTCTTTTGTCTGATATGAGTATAGCATCTCTGCCTTCTTTTGGTTATGATTTGTGTGAAATATTTTTTTCCCATTCCTTCACTCTCAGTCTGCATGTGTTTTTAAAACTACAGGGAGGGATGCCTTCATGGTTCAGTTGGTTAAGTGGCTGCCTTCGGCTCAGGTCATGATCCTAGGGTCCTGGGTTTGAGTTCCATATCAGGCTCCTTGCTTAGCAGGGAACCTGCTTCTCCCTCTGCCTGCAGCTCTCCCTGCTTGTGTGCTCTCTCTTTGACAAGTAAGTTAAAAAATAAAATAAAATAAATAAAGCTACAGTGAATCTCTCATAGGCAGCTTATTATTGGATCTTGTATTTTTCTCTATTCAGTTATCCTGTGTCTCTTGAATGGAGAATTTAATCCATTTATACTTAAATTGTTAATACGTCAAGACTTACTACTACCATTTTGTTAACTGTGTTCTATTTTGTAGATACTTTGTTGCTTCTTTGTGGTTTGATGACTTTTTGCGGCAATATTTTGTCATTCTTTTATCATAATCTTTTATGTGACCACTTCAGGGTTTTCTTTTTTGGCTACTGTGATGCTAACATAAAATCTATCTATAACATTATATTTTAAGTTGATAACAACTCAATTTTACTAACATAAACTTTAAATTTTTACTTCTCCCCTCACTCACAGTTCCAGTTATTAGTGTTTCAGTATGTATGTTCATATACATATGTATATGTGAATATATATATAGAATTTTCAGGATTTTATTTCTAAGTAATCTCTGCACCCACTGTGGGGCTCACACTCACAAACCTGAGATCAAGAGTCACATACTCCACTGACTGAGCAAGCCAGGCACCCCTCAGTTTACATATATTTTATATTATGTATCCAAAAATAAATTATTATAGTTGAAACTAGAGGTATAAATAAATTACATATTTGAGAATACGATTACAATATTGGAGAATCTGATTTTGACTGTATATTTACTATTACCAGTTCTACAAACATATATATATTTTTATGATGTTAATTAGCATCATTTTATTTCTCCTTGAAAAACTACCTAGTATTGCTTGTAAGGCAGATGTAATGCTGATTAACTTCCTTAGCTTTTATTTGTTGAGAAATTCTTTACCTCTCATGAATTTCTGAAAGACTACTTCACCAGCTATACTATTCTTAGTTAACAGCTTCTGTTTCTCTTTCAGTACTTTGAATATATCACCTCATTCTCTCCTGATTGAAACGTTGCTATTGAGAAATCTGTCCATAGTCTTATGGTAGGGATCACATATCACTGTGATGTGTCAGTCTTTTGCTGCTTTCAAAATTCTTTGTCTGTGACTTTTGACAATTAAAATGTGTCTCTATGTAGCCCTTTTTGGATTCAATCTATTTGGGGTCTTTTGGGTGTCATTATTCTGATACCCATTTTTCTCCTCATGTTTGGGAAGTTTTCAACCATTATTGTTTTTAAATACTTTCTGTCCCCTTTTCCCCACTCTCTTCTTCTTTGGGATTCTTACAATGCATATTTGTTCTTTAGATGGTGTCCTAGGAGTCCTGTATGCTTTCTTTACTCTTTTTAATTCTTCTTTCTTTTTGCTGTTCTGACTGGAAAATTTCACGTGCCCTATTGTATAGTTCACTGATTCTTCTGCTTGATGAAGTCCGCTGTTGGAAGTTCTTTTTTTTTTTTTTTAATTTAAAAGACTGTATTTATTTATTTGACAGACAGAGATCACAAGTAGGCAGAGAGGCAGGCAGAGAGAGGGAGGAAGCAGGCTCTCTGCTGAGCAGAGAGCCCAATGTGGGGCTCAATCCCAGGACCCTGAGATAATGACCTGAGCCAAGGGCAGAGGCTTTAACCCACTGAGCCACCCAGGCGCCCCTACTGTTGAAGTTCTCAATTGAATTCTTCAGGGAAGTCACTGGATTCTTCACTTATAGGATTTCTTTCTTTCTTTCTTCTTTCTTTCTTTTTGTGGTTTCTATTTCTTGTTGAACTTCTCATTTTGTTCATGCATATCTCCCCCAATTTTGTTTAGTTATTTGTGTTTTCTTGTAGTTAACTGGACTTCTTTAAGAGGAATAATCTGAATTACTTGCAGACAATTCACAGATCTCCCATTTCTTTAAGGTCAATTATTGGAGCTTTATTATTCTCCTATGGTGATGTCAATGTTTATCTGATTCTTTATCATCCTTGCTTCTTTGTGTTGTTATCTGCACGTTTGAGTAAGCAGTCTCCTCTTCCATACTTTACAGGTTGTCTTCTCCAGAAATGGTCTTCCCCCAGTCAGTTCACCTTGATTCTGGACTGGTCAGCAGGCAGCATCCTTGGTCAGGTGGGGCTTGCTGACAGGGTCTCTGTTTGGGCAAGGCTGCTGCCTGAGCTCTGAGGTCAGGCTGGGTGCCTCTGGCTGGTGGGTTCCTGCCTACACGAAGCTGTGGGATGCACTCTGCAGGAATTCTCTGGCTAAACTTCCAACTCAAGTAGGACTGGTGCTATACTCAGCAGCTAGGAAGGGCTACAAATATGCTTCCTTGCCTGAGTGGAGTTGTAAGACAGTCTCCATGGCCCTTTAGCTTGATGTTTGGGGATCTGTATCCAGAAGAGCTACCCACCAAACTCCTGGGTCAGACAGTGCCACCAGCTGTGCTCTGCAGATGGAAAGACTGACTGGCTTGGTGCTCCACTCAGGTGCTATTGTACACTTAGCTGTAGGTTGGGCTACATAGCTTCCCAGGTGTTCTGGTTAGGCTTGCTCGTTGGGACTTGGCACTGAAGATAGTGCCAAGCAGGGCTTCAGATTTGCTTCCCCACATGGGGAAAGGCTGTATAACAGCCTCCACAGACAGGTGGACTTGGTAGTCAGGGACATGAGTCAGGCAAAACACACTGAGCTCCCTAGACAGATGGGGTCACCACCTGGGCTCTGCAGATGGGCAGGCACCCTGCTTAGGTACTCCTCTTAAGTGCTGCTGAGCTATTCAGTTTCCCAGATGCTCCGGTCAGGTTTCCTGGTGGCGTGAAGCTAGGGGCTGCACTCAGCAGTAAGCAGGGCTATGAATTAGCTTTCCTGCCAGGCAGGGTGGCAAAAATAGGCTCTAAGGCCAGCAGGGCTCATTGTTTGGGGTCTTGAATCAGGCAAAACTGCACCCTGAGTTCCCTGACCAGATGGAGTCACCATGTCATGGTTAGCTTTTTAAAAACCTTCCAAATAATTTATATTAGCTACATGTGAATGATACAGTGTCTCTCTGGCTTCTCAATCATTCGATATTATCAGTATATTTTTATTAGCCATTCTAATGGATAGGTAGTGCGATTTCATTGTGGTTTTAATTTTGTATTTCCATGACTAATGATACTGAACATGCCTTCATGTGTTCATTTCTGTATTTTCTTTGGTGAAATATTTCTTCATATCTTCTGCCCATTTTTTAATTGAATTTTTGTTTTCTTTACTGATAGATTTTGAGAATTCCTTATACATTGTAGATATTAATCTTTTATCAGATTTCATTTGCAAATATTTTCTCCCAGGCTATGATTGTCTTTTCTTTCACAGAGGAAACGTTTTCAATTTGGTAACATTCAACTACCATTTTTCCTCTGTTTAATGGATTGTGCTTTTAATATCATAGATCTAAGAATTGAGATCTAAGAACTTCCAGTACTGTGATGAATAGTAATAATAAAAAGTGGACATATTTGCCATTTTCATCATCTTAGAGAAAAAGCATTCCGTCTCCTGCGATTTAGTTTTGTTTATTTCTTTGTTTTTGTATTGTCTTTGTCTGGGGCACCACAGTAGTACTGACTTACTTCGGAAGTGTTCCCTCCTCTTCTGTATTCTGGAGGAAATTGTACAGATTTAGTATTCACTTTTTTTAAAACTTCTGGTAAATTCAATGTCTTTAATAGTTACAGGGCTGTTCAAATTTTATATTTCATCTTGAGTGAGTTGTGGTAATACATGGGTTCTTTGAGAAATTAGTCCATTTCATCTGTCCTATCACACTGTTACATGTAGAGTTGTTTATAATATTCCTTTCCTTTTCCTTCTGATTATCTTCAAGGTCTGTAGTGATTCCCCTATTTCATTCCTGATATTATTAATGCACGTCTTCTTTCCTTCATTCCTTGTTAATCTTGCTCAAGTTTGTCTATTTCATTGAACTTTTCAAAGAATTGAACTTTCACTGATTTTCTCTGTGGTTTTCCATTTTTAATATCATAGAGTTCTGCTCTTTATCATTTCCTTTCACATAACTTTATTGAGTTTATTTTGCCCTTCTTCTCATAGTTTCTTCAGGTTGAAGCAAAATTTATAACACTGCCTAATGTAGATCTCAGCATATGTAAGGAATTATTTAAAATGATTAAATAAGAAAGATATGAGGGAGTGTAAAGGGAAGTGAAAGAGTGTAAAGTTTATACACTTTATTCACACTGGTAAAATATTTGCACAAATATTATTATAACATATATTATACACACACACATATATGCACACATATAAATGTAATACATAGAACAACCACTAAAAAGTCCATACAAAGCTGTACACTCATAGCCACTATAGCTAAATCAAAATGGAATTCTGCAAAGGGTTAAGTAACTTAAGTATCTCATAGGAAAGGCAGAAAGTAACTCACAGGAATTTGAGTAAAGAAAGTTACTCCAAGTAACTCATAGGAAGGCAGAAAGAAGAAAAATAAATTAATTAAAAACAGAAATCACAGAAAACAACCAAAAAGCAGACCTAAGTATCAATGCATCAATAATTGTACTAAATATAAATGGTCTATATATGCCAGTTAAAAGACAGAGATTAGCAGAATAGATTTTCAAAAAATGATCCAATTTTATACAATTCTATAAGTTATTCACTTCAAATGGAATGATAAAAGTAGGTTAAAAGTCAACAAGCAGGTTGAAAATATACTATGCAAGCATTAATTAAAAGTAAACAGGTATGGTTATATCAATACTAGACAAAATGGATGTCAGCAAGGAAAATTATGAGGGACAGAGAGGAATATCACATGTCTATCCGCCAAGAAGTCACAGCAAACCTAATTGTCTAGGTACCAAACAACAGAGCTGCAAAATATGTGAAGCAAAAACTGATGGAACTGTTAAGAAAAACAGACAAATATACTTAACAGCTGGATACTTTACTATTTCCCGGTCTTAAATTAATAGAACAAGAAGAGAGTAAGAAATGACACAAAACACAATACCATCAATCAATAGAATCGAATCAACATTAATAGAAAACTCCCCCTAACAAAAGAACACACAGTATTTTCAACTGTCATGGAACATATACCAAGTAACCATATCCTGATGCACAAAACAAACCTCAAATGACTGAAAAGAATAAAAATCACAAAGACTTTGCCATTACTCATTGAGGCATCTCTGTGAGGGCTGCTTTAAAATTCTTGGTAGATAATTTTGACATCTGTGTCATCTCTGCATATCTTTTTTTAAAAAAATATTTTATTTGTTTATTTGACAGAGAGTTAGAGAGAGAGCACAAGTAAGCAGAGCGTCAGGGAGAGGGGAAGAGAGAGAAGCAGGCTCTCTGCTGAGCAGGGAGCCTGATGTGGGGCTCAATCCCAGGACCCTGGAATCATGACCTGAGCTGAAGGCAGCCGCTTAACCAACTGAGCCACCCGGGCGCCCCTCTGTTCGTATCTTTTGATTATCTTTTCAACTTGACATATACCTGATTTTGGATATATTGGGTATTATGTGGTAAGATTCTAGATCATATTTAAATCCTGTGCTTTAGGTTTTTGTTTTTTGTTTTTTTGTGTTTTTTTTTTTTTAATTGTTCTGTTGGGTTAAGGTCACCACCTCATTACTGCTAGGTTGGGATGGAAGTCCTGATTTTCCACCCCATCTTTGTGGACACCTGGGAGAGGAGGGCTGCTGGACAGAGTTAGGAGTTAAGTTTCCCCTCTTTGCATCCTCTGATACCACTGTGGCTGGGAGAAGGAGGGGCACATCGTTGCTACCTCTCCATGAGGTCTCCATTGACATCATTGTGGGGTGCCTTCAGGCTTGAATATCACGTTATAACTACAAAAGTTAAGAGTCTCTCACCATTTATTTGCCTACCAATGTTTACCTATTAACAGAAATGGAAGTTTTGTCATATGGTATTGTTCTCTGATTTATTGGTTAAAAGGTCCAGAAAGATTAGCTTTGTAACACAGACACAGATGGCAGATTTAGACTGTTATAATCAGTGATCAAAATTTGCCTCCCTGGTGCCACTTTCTCCTCAGTGTATTAACATGCTCAGGTCTCAAATAAAAGAAAACAAAATTTCCTAGAATTCACCTATTCCTCAAGTCCTTATCTCACTGAACTTCTTTAAAAAATAATTTATACAAATTGTGTCCATTATTTCCTCATTAAGCTACTGTAGTGTAGCCTCTCCTCACCCCACCCCAAAATCATCAGTGGTGTTTTCTCAGTTCTTACCTCAGCTTTGGATGATGTGTGAGTATTTCCTACACAGAAATTCTCTTCCTTTGCCCTCCACCGCCTCTCCTACTTTTCCTTCATTTCCGTCCCTGTTCTTTGTGAGTTCTTCCTTAGTCAACAAACTTTGTCACCTGTGTCTTCCACAAATTGTACTTTCTGCTATATTTTCAGTTCATCTAGATATCACCTGGTAGGTAGCTGTTCATACACAAATAATTCTTCAACTAAGTGGTCTATGCCTTAAGGTGAGTTATCCTCAGTGTTCCATTCTTGGACCTCTTCTTTAATAATTTTATTTATTTTCCTTGATTGATTTTTATCTGTTTCAATGGCTTTAGTTATCTTGTGGACTGAGTTCCCCTATCCCCTTCATAAACCTTCCCATACCCTTTCTCTTTGATAGCACTTAACTTTATCATGATTAAATAAAGTTTACATATACAAAAGTACTCAAACCAAGTTAAGAAAATAGAAAATTTCACCTTCTCTGCTTGGCCATTCTATATGGAATAAACATGGCAGGCTTGAACTTATAACAACTTCATCAAAATAAATACCTGTGCGTAATGCAAATATAAAAATTTGATACTTGAAGTTACTTTTTTTTTTAAAGATTTTATTTTTTTATTTGACAGACAGACATCACAAGTAGGCAGAGAGGCAGGCAGAGAGAGAGGAGGGGAAGCAGGCTCCCTCCTGAGCAGAGAGCCCAATGTGGGACTTGATCCCAGGGTCGACTCGATCCCAGGACCTGGGATCATGACCTGAGCTGAAGGCGGAGGCTTTAACCTACTGAGCCACCCAGGCACCCTGATAATTGAAAGTTTCTACTAAGTTCTTTTACTTATATTACTAGTCACAGACAAAATTATTGTATACATATATCATTGGGTTCACCTTTGACCTGTGAACTATAAGCTTCAATAGTCGATTTACTCCAATAATTCACTTATATATACTGATATTAAAAAGGATTGCAAACCAT